TAAAATATTATCATCATAATGAGAATTAGGCAGAGTTGTTTTATTGTCATGAAAATACATAAAGTCCTAAAATGGGCATCGTTTACTTAATGCACATTATGTTGCTTTTTCTTTTGGTTTTGGTGTAAAGCATGACCTGTTCTCGCCGGTGTTTGTGTGAATGAGGCAGATGCGGATGTGAACTGAAGGAATGATGATTCCCGTCTGGAGCGCTGTGACCCGCCTCATTTACATACTAATCCCCGCCCCCTGCTGTTGCCACAGCAACCGGTTCGGCGATCATCGCGGCTTTGGGGATTTTGGGGAGTTTATTTGTCGCATCTTCATAACGTTAATCATCTCTGTCATATTCATAAATGCCAGGCTGTCACAGGCTTATATTATGCCATTTATTTCAATTTACTGACACAGACGCAGAATCGGATCAGATTTGGTGGAAATTAATCACATTAAATCGTAGATTAAGCGATAATCCCCTCCGAGCTCTTAAATACTGTAAGTGATTGGCATTGGCTTCTGAAATACCCTGGTAAAGATGATAATACCATGGCATTGTGTAATATCACAAGATATATCAACCCACAGACTCTCCTGATGGTTCATTTAATTTCATATTATGATTGGAATTTATTTATTTATTGTACAGTTTTTATATATATTCTTTAGATATATCTATATAGGTTTTTTATTTCAGTTTTAGTTTATTTTAGTATATCAAGCTAAACTAAAGAAATGTGGCCTTGCTATTTTATTAAATGTTTTGAGATACTACTATTATTTTGATTAATATCCGAATTCGTTTTTATTTTAACTTTTTCTGTTTTCATTTCCGTTTAAAATTTTGATGTTTGTTTGTTGTCATTTTTATCATTTTTCTATTTTCATTTTAAATTTGTAAATGTGTTTGTTTTTGCCAATTTTATTATTATTATTTTTAAATATGTCTGTATACTTTTTATTAGTTTTTGTTTCAGTTTTAGTTTATTTTAGTACATAAAGCTAAACTAAAGGGAAATGAGAAATGTTGCTTTGGCAACTAGCTGAAATAACATTTTTAATAAAATATTTAGTGTCGTTGAGACAACTAAGTTTTATAAATTTTTTAATTAGTTTTTTTATTTTTATATTTTAATATTCTTAATATATATTATATTTTGATATAGTTTTTTTTTATATTCTGATTTAATTTAAATTAGACATTTTTAGTAAATTTGTTTGTTTTTGTCATTTTTAAAAAAAATATTATGTCTGTATAGTTTTTATTAACGTTTATTAAAGTTTTCGTTTATTTTAGTATATCGAGCTAAACTAAATGAAAATGAGAAATGCTGAGAACTAGCTGAAATATTGACACTAAAAATTGTATTAAATATTTTGAGATACTATTGTTATTTTTATTAATAATTGAATTTATAATAATTATAATTGTAAAGTTTGTAATTTTTTTATTAGGTCTTTTTGAATGTATATAGTTTTTATTAATTTTTATTTCAGTTTATTTCATGTTTCATGCAAGTGAAATCAAATTAATCGCATTAAATCATAGATTAAGTGATAATCCCCTCAGAGGGACCCGGGGAGCCGGCTGCTCTGTTTCCCAGAGATCAGTGCAGCGTCCCTGGGGAAGAGCGCTGAGCGAGTCCCTGGATTAGGCCTCAAAATCACCCGCGGACCCTCACTTCCATAATTACGCTTTATTAATTGAGATATTGGATGATGGTGTTTAGTGTGTGTGAGAGCATGTGTTCGTGTTTACTGACGGCAGCTGTTTGGGATTTTTGTATTTTAAGAAGGGGGAAATATTGGATTGTAAAAGAGCCGCTAACGAGTATCAGAGCTTAAATAATGTGAATTCATCGCCTCTCGTTGTCCCTGATCTCTTTAAGCTCACAGTAACATGTCATAACGCAATTGCATTTGTGCGGTTCAGTGGAACATCAGCTCGATTTCCACATGAGTGATCTGAATCCGTCCAGAATTACACACACATCGGCCTACTGAAGAAACACGGTTCATAAGTGCTGTGGTAAAGATGATAATACCATGGTATTGTGCAATATCATGATACATTACACACACACACACACACATATATATATATATATATATATATACTCACTCACACACACACATACATACACACACGCTCACTCACACAGACTCACTCACTCACTCTCTCTCACACACACACACACACACACACACTCACTCTCACTCTCTCACACACACACTCACACATTCTCACACACACATTTTTAGTTTATTTTAGTACATCAAGCTAAACTAAGTGAAAAAGAGGTTAAATAGCTACTTTTAATAACTTAAATAAACATTTAATAAATAAATACATGATATTAAAAAAAATTATTAAAAGTTGCATGTTAAAAATAGCCATCTGTAAAATGTCACAAAAAAATATATATATATATTTATTTATTTTTTATTTTTTTTGACAATAAAAAACACTTTCAATCATTTTTGCCGTGTGTTTGTCCCACCAGAAAGAAAATAACTAGTTACTTTTAATTACTTTGCATTAAAAAATAACAATTTCACATTATTTTTTATAGATTTTCAAACTCTGCATTCATGCATGATTATTATTGTCCACAAACCCTTGCACAACAGAAGAGAAAGAGTTTGTGACCGGACTGAGGCAGAAACTAACAAAGTAAACGAGTTTTCAGTAATAAATTGAGATGCATGCTAATGTTTACATGCAAACACAAAAAAAACTAGTGTGCTTTTTATGGAAAGAATGAATCGGTGATTCATCAGAGCAACTCATTTCTGGTCTGTGTTCTTCTGTCTGGGTGGAACGGCACTTGCGTGTTTCGTAATGCATCAGTTCGGTCGTAACTTGCACATGTTTGATGGGTGTTTTATGCGTTTTCCCTCAGGATTATCACAGTTGCGTAACTCTAGTGGGTGAAACGAAGAACATTTCTTCAGAAAAGCAAATGCAATCTAGTGTGTGTTGAATCAGTGATGTATTTCTAGGGAAAAGAGAGGAAAGACTCTGTGCGCGTCTCCAAACACAATGCAGACGCTCAGAAAAGATCGTCCAAAGCGAGGAGCCTCACGCTGGAGGACGAGGACTGGATCTGGACGGCCAATAAGAAGACGCCGCTGATCACTGGATCCAATCTGACGCGCTCTGGAAGCGTTAAAGATCTCATATACAGGTTCGACGGGCCGCCAACGCCGCCGCCGCGCCTCGGCTCGCTGAAGATCAAACGGCAAGACGTGAGCGCATGGGATTCTGGGAAAATGAGACATGAAAGCAGAGAGAGAGGGAAGAACCAGAACCCGGTCTCCGGTGAACCGTCAGAACCGGAAACACAAGAAAGCTCCGAGCAGAAACGCCATGGCACAGAGAAGAAGAGGAGCAGCGATGACAAACAAACGTCCCGGCGCAGCAAAGACAAAGCGGCTGTCTCTGATCCCGGTCCGGTAAGTGTCCGAGCCGCTCTCGGTATCGGACCCGTCTCGTCCCGTCGACCGCGCTGCTTCACTGTGAATCTGAGTCCTGACATGCATGAATCTGCTGCAGTCAGCCAATCACAGCCTTTGATTTCAGACACACGCTTCATCAATCAGCCCACACTAACACATCCAGACTCGTGTCCATGTCTCCGAGCGTTTGGTCTGTGCATGAGCTGTGTTGTTTTACTATCTGTGAGATTCTGTTTTTATATCATTTACAGTCGTATTTTGAATGAATTATTATGGTTATATTTCCCTTTTTATTTTTTATATTTATTTGTATTTTTTATTTTTAAATTCACTTAGTTTTAGGAATTTTGTTGTGCTTTGTTGTCATTATTATTATTATTTGTTTCCATATCATTTCCATTTTATTAATTTTGATTTCACCTTTACTTGTTGTATATCAAGTGAAGTTAGATGAAAATGACATGTTGCCTTGGCAATTAGCTGAAATTATTTTTTATTTAGTTTTATTGATTTATTTTATTATTTTATTAAGGTTAACTTTATTTATTTATTTGAAGTTTTTATTAATATTTTGATCTGGTTTTTATATTTATGTTTTATTGATTTGATGTTTATATTTTTACATTTTAAATGTAAAGTTTTAGTAATTCTGTTGTGTGTTTTTGTTATTATTATTATTATAATTAAGTTTTATATCAGTTTTAGTTTTAGTTATTTTAGTACATCAAGTTAAACTTAATAAAAATTAGAAATGTTGCCTGGGCAAGTAACTGAAATGAAATGAGTTTGTTTTTTACATTTAATTTTATTAAGGTTAACGTTGGTTTATGTTTGTATTTATTTATTTTCGTTCATTTTAATTTATTTATTTAATAAGGGAGAGTGTACATTAAGAAAAAAAATTTAAATTTAAAAATTCAATAAAAGCAAAATTAAATAGCACATAATACACTGAAATAATCAAATTATAACAAATATTGTTATAGCTGAAAAAAACAAAAGTAATGAACATGTTTTTGTTTTTAGTTGTGTAATAGCCCTGAGCATGATGTGTGTGCTTCAGATGTGCATGTGTGTGTTTGTTGTGTCTCTGAGTGTTTGTAACACAACATGCATCTGATCTGCTGTAAATATAATAATCGCTGTGATTTGGTTTATGATTGAAACCACAGCTCTGTCCTCACACGTTTGCGTTCTGATTCATGACGCTGAGCTTGATTTTCAAAGTTTAATGTTTAATTGTCTCTCACGCCGCTCTCTTTCTTACCCAGAATTCCAGCCTATACGGCAAGAAGCAGCACAGCGGCCCTCAGTCCGAGGATGAGCCCACCACCCCCAAAATCCGCCCCAACCCCAAGTACCAGCTCTACCTGGGCTCCAACGGCACCAGCGGCTCCAATGGGTCAGTGGGGGACGGCGGCGGGAGCCACGGGAATCTGCTGAGGGTCAGTTCAGTGATCCGCGGCTCCATGGAGTCGCTCTCATCCCGGGACTGGGACAGCATGTCCGACAGAGTGAGTCAAAACATCTGATTACTGCCTTACTGAGTAATTATTTTTTTTTACTTTTTATGGAAACCAGGAGTAGCATGGTATAGTATAATATGGTATGGTATGGCATAGCATAGCAGCGTATAGTATAGCAGCGTATAGTGTGGTCTGTAGTGTAGTGTAGTGTGGCATGGTATAGTATAGTATAGTATAGTATAGCAGCGTATAGTGTAGTGTAGTGTGGCATGGTATAGTATAGTATAGTATAGCAGCGTATAGTGTGGTCTGTAGTGTAGTGTAGTGTGGCATGGTATAGTATAGCAGCGTATAGTGTAGTGTGGCATGGTATAGTATAGTATAGTATAGTATAGCAGCGTATAGTGTAGTGTAGTGTGGCATGGTATAGTATAGTATAGTATAGTATAGTATAGTATAGCAGCGTATAGTGTAGTGTAGTGTGGCATAGTATAGTATAGTATAGCAGCGTATAGTGTGGTCTGTAGTATACTGTAGTGTGGCAGGGTATATTATAGTATAGTATAGTATAGCAGCGTATAGTGTGTACTGTAGTGTAGTGTGGCATGGTATATTATAGTATAGCAGCGTATAGTGTAGTGTAGTGTGGCATGGTATATTATAGTATAGTATAGCAGCGTATTGTGTGGTCTGTAGTGTAGTGTGGCATGGTATAGTATAGTATATACGCTGCTATACTATACTATACTATACTATACCATGCCACACTACACTACAGACCACACAATACGCTGCTATACTATAATATACCATGCCACACTACACTACAGTACACACTATACGCTACTATACTATACTATACTAGTGTGTACTGTAGTGTAGTGTGGCATGGTATAGTATAGTATAGTATAGCAGCGTGTAGTGTAGTGTGGCATGGTATAGTATAGTATAGTATAGCAGCGTGTAGTGTAGTGTGGCATGGTATAGTATAGTATAGTATAGCATGGTAGAGTAGAGTATAGTAGAGTAGAGTAGAAAACTATAATAATGAATAATAAACTATAATAGTATCTCTGGGATATTAATATGACAGAAACTAATGCACTTTTTCAATAATTTGGTAATCTCTTCCACAACAGTTATGCAATGCTTGGCTTGCATGTGTTTTAAAAATAATTGGAAAAAATAATTTATATTTTTCAATAAATTCAATATATATATATTTTTTCATTCAACTATTTTTCATTTTTATAGGAATTATTACTATTATTATTATAAATATTATGGTGTCAGTTTAAAAAGGAACACGATGCTTTAAAGGTTCTTTCTGTCATGCTCTAACAGTACAGTAATGTCTCTGTGTTCTTTCAGATGTGCGGCTTTGAAAGTCCTCCCCGAGTTTTCAACAGTCCGTATTCGACGCTCTCGCTGGACTACAATCCCATCAACAGAATGTCTGACTTCAAGGTGAATAAACACACGTTATACAGATGATAGTGAGTGTGTGTGTGTGTGTGTGTGTGTGTGTGTGTGTGTGTGTGTGTGTCCCTCTAGTGGACAGAACATGAACGTGTGTCCTACAGTCTCACATACAACACTTCACTCTCTTCAACAATGACTGTCTACTTCTTTTAGAATTATTATAGCTTCTATGACTTCAGATGACTTCAGACGGCATGATACTGAAGCAGTGCTCTGAATGTGTTTTGATTGGTCTGTCAGACACAGGAAGTGATGTCACCCGCCGGCTCTGAGATGAGCCTGTTTGGTCTGAACAGAAGCGTGAGTCCTGTTAGCAGTCCAGCTATGAACCACCGCACACGAGTCCCCGGATACGACAGTCTGACCCGCAGACGAGACGTGAGTCTGCTCCACAGAGAAGCAGGAAATACATATTCATCCATAAAATAAGCAATCAATTTATATTACAATTATATGTATGTTAACTGAAATAAAATAAAATATAATTTTTTTTAACTACTTCTGTCTCATTCTGTTTCAAAATCTAAAGCTGAAATAAAAATGAATCAAAACTGACATATTAAAAATATATATATTTTTTTATATAGAATATTGTATATAAATATGAAAACAAAAACTAGTAAAATGACAAAACAAAACAAACTCACTGTAATCAAAATTACTAAAACTTTAAACAAAAAATAAAAATAAACAAAAAATTCGAAATATTAATAAAAACTTACATTTTACATTTACATTTTATATTAAAATAAAATAAATAATAATATATGTAAATATAAACATAATATATATATTAAAATAAAGAATTTATATTTAAAAAATGCAATCAACATACATAAATATAAATGTAATATCAAAATAAATAAATAAAATAAAGTGATCAGTTTGTATTAAAATAAATAAATACAGAAAGAAAGAAAGCAATCGATTTATATTAAAATAAAGCTATCAATTTATATTAAAACAAAATAAATAATGCATATAAATGTACATTCAATATGTATTAAAACAAAATGAATAAATAAAATAATTTACTACATTTATTGTATTTGTTATATTTTATCATAGGTTTTCTAATAAATAATACAATAAATAATTTATTAAATGTACTTATTTATTAAACAATTAAAAGCAATAAAACAATAAATAGATGTTTATTCACTGAGCACCTTTATGTCCCAGAGGATGATTTTTATTAAAACTCATGTTTTCTCTCCTGAAGGCGACTCCAAGTCAACTCATGCAACGAAACAACCAGCCGAACAAACTGGATTTCATCCAGGAACTGACCAAACAGCTGGAGGACTGTCGCAGGGTCAGTATGCACACACAAATGCAGTCATAAATCATCCATAAATCACACTTTAATTCACATGTGATGCACAATTCACAATTGGTAACATGCCATTATGAACATACTGATGTTCAGGCCACAAAACACAGTCAGAATCCATGCAGAATGCAGATTATGTTTAATATGTCTGTTTATGTGCTGCAGAGGAACCAGTTTCTGGAAGCGGAGAGCATCGAGATGGAGAAGGAGAGGAACCAGATCCGCTTCGAGATGCGAGGTCTGCTGGTGAACAATGAAGATCTGCTGCGGACGAACACGCAGATGCAGGGCGAGACGAACCGGCTGCGCGAGAGCATCGTGGAGTTAGAGAGCAACAACAACGTCATGCAGGAGCGCTTCAAAAAGATGGAGGTACAAACACCACATACCACAGCAGAACACACACCGTCAGCTCGCAGGTTATCAACACGCGTGTGTGTGTGTGTGTGATTGCAGAAAGAGCTGAAGGAGGCGCGGGAGGTGATGGTCGAAGCAAACACTCAGGAATACGCCTTTAACTTCCTGCAGCAGACGCTCAAGAACAAAATACAGGACACTGAGGTGCGTCAAAGTGTGTTTGCATCACAAATAAGCATGCTTCTCCATACTTTCAAAGACAAAAATAATTACAAAAATATTAATTTTATCATTATTTTATGTTTGTTTATTTTATTATTATAGTTTATATTTTTAGTATTTTATTTATTTAATTATTTTATATTGATTATTTTATTTATTTTAATATTATTTATTTTATTATAGTAATATTTTTGATTTATTATTTTATTATTAGATTGTTTTATATTTATGATTTTTATACATTTTATTGTTTATTTTATAAACCCCATAAAATGCTAAATGCTTTTCAGAAACGTACCAGTAATGTCAAAGAAGGTCAAATTAGAGGTGATAATAACATCAGGAAATAAACATAAAACAAATGGCCATTTGTTTTATTATTTCTTTTATTCTTGCATTCATTTTACATGTATTAATTATTTTTTTATATTATTTTAGATTTATATTTTTTATGTCATTTTTATATTATTATAAATTTATTTATTTATTTTATTATATTATTTTGTGTGTATTATTATTATTGTTATATTTATTATTATTTTATTAGGCAGCTCTGTTTATAATTGGAGCACATATCTATTTTTGTTGAGTTGCGTCACGGCGCTCGCTCTGAGTAGACGCTTTCTCCTGCCGTGCACACTAGAACGGCCGTGATCTGATGTGTTCACTAGCAGCACAGACAGCAGCTCAATCCTCCATTCAGACTGAGGTGGGGCGCATTGAGGAACACTTGAGAAAAAATCTGGGTTAGGGATTAGGGATGGGCATTTTTCAAAAATATTGTATTCAAATGTTTGGGCTCATAAAAAAAATTATATTCGAATATGAGTGAGAAAGACGTTATGTTTTAATAATCAAGTTTTTGTCTCAATTTTCAAAGTTTTTGATTAGGCATTATACACAACAATGTTCTACAACAATGCTGCGTTATATCTCAAGGTTTTCTTTTAGTTGAAATCATGTGTAAACAAATATATATATATATATATATATATATATATATATATATATTCATAAAGTTGTATTATTATTATTATTATTCATGTATTATTTTTTTCTCAGTTTTTTTGCCTTAGTAATGCACTGCACCTTTTGTCATGCAAATAAACCCCATAAAATGCTAAATGCTTTTCAACAACTAATGGTGTTTAATAAGCAAAATGTAAACTTAGGGGTAATAATAATATAATTTTACATCAAGTAACTGGTTATTGAAAGCTGCTCATCTGGGCTTTATTTACTGTGTGAAAATGAATGTATGTGACTGTTGTTGGCTTTAATTTTGGATGTTTTCTCAAGCTGACCTTCTGTGTGTGTTTTCTTCAGGAAGCTCTGGAGAAACAAGCTCAACACGCTCAGACTGTGTCAGAAAAACTGTGGCTCGCCGAGAGAAACCTGGAGGAGCTGGAGCTGGAGAAGGAAACCAAAGCCAAGAAAGCTCTGGAATTCGGCAACACTGTTTTCAGACTGGAGACAGAGGTACAGACACACAGACACACACACACACACACACACTAACAGACAGACACACACACGCACACACACACTAACAGACAGACACACACACAGACACAAACACACGCACACACACACAAACACACACAAACAGACACACACACACGCACACACACAAACAGACACACACACAGACACAAACACACACACACACTCACTCACTCACACAAACACATACATACACACACGCGCATAGACACAGACACAAACACACGCACACACACACGCGCACACTCACACACACACACGCGCGCACACTCACACACACACGCACGCACACACACACACTCACTCACTTACACATACGCACTCTCACACACACACACTCGTACGCGAACACACACTCACACATGCACGCACGCGAATACACGCGCGCACACACACACACTCACACTCACTCACACACACACACTCACACTCACACACTCACACTCACACACTCACACACTCACACTCTCACACTCACTCACACACACACACTCACACTCACACACTCACACACTCACACTCACACACACACACACACACCTGCTTGGCTTGCAGGTGTTTTTAAAATAATTTAATACTAATATAATATAAATAATTATATGTATTAAATAAAATAATGATTTTTACAAATGTTAAAAAATGATTAGTAAGTCTTAAGAAATATTTAAATAAATATTGATTGATTTTTTTGATCCTGTGATGTTTATTGTGTGTCAGCTGGCAGACGCGCTGCAGGAGGGGAACCAGGCGCGAGTGGAGCTGAGTTTGCAGCAGAAGCTGAGGGCCGATGTTCAGCTGCGGATGGAGGAGCTGGAGGAGAGCGTGCTGGAGAAAGACCAGGAGCTGCTGCGCCTCACACAGATCGTCAGCAGACTGCAGGGAGAGGTCCGATTAATACACATTCATATCGCTTTCTCAAAGAAATCAATACTGTTATTCAGCAAGGATGCATTCAATTGATCAGAAGTGCCAGTACAGACATTTATAATGTTACAAAAGATTTCTATTTCAAATAAACGCTGCTCTTTTGAACTTTCTAATCATCTGTGAATCCTGAAAAATCAAATGTATAATCCAAAATATTGTGCAGCACAACGGTTTTTAACATTGATGATAATCAGAAATGTTTCTCAGCAATTCAGCTTTGATCGCAGAAATAAATTACAGTTTAACAGATATTCTCATAGAAAACAGCTGTTTTAAATTGTAATCATTTTCCAGAATTTTTACTGTATTTTTGATCAAATAAATGCAGCCTTGGTGAGCAGAAAAACTTTATCAACCCCAGGCTTTTAAACATTAGTGTGTATCATAGTATATTCATGCTAATTTAGTTACATTAACTAAAAGTAAAACCATAAAAAAAATCATTACTTGAAATAAAATTAACTGAAATTAAAATTAACTGAATTATTTTTAAGTTTTCTTGAGAAATATTTCTCATTTTAGTTAAAATGTAGCTTACTAAAATTACTAAAACTAAAAAAACATTTAAAAAATACACAGACATATTTAATAATAATAATAATAATAATAATGCCAAAACCACTCAAATTAAAATTACTTGAATAATTATTTCATGACTTAGTTTTTATTTTAAAATAAAAAATAATTAAATTTCAAGAATTCTGAAATTAAATGACATTACTAGTACATTTTTGTAAAGCATTTAGCATTTTTTGTGGTTTATTTGCTTGACAAAAGATGCATTGCATTACTAAAGCACAAGAGCAAAGAATAAAACCAATACATAAATAAAACTACAAAACTACTATTAAAATTACTATTAAACCACTACTATGATAATTTCTAAAAAAAATTACTAAACGTTTATATTTAAAAAAAGAAATAAAATGCATATGATCTTCAGGTGTGTTAGTTTGTATCAGAGATTTGATCATGTTCATCTAATCATAATGTACCGAGTTGCTGTGTTTGATCTGTAAGTTGCGCTGGGCTCCATCTGACTCGTGTGTGTGTGTGTGTGTGTGTGTGTCAGGTGTCAGGTAAGCTGAGTGATAAGGAGCAGACGCATAATAATAATTAATAAAATATAATAATAATACAGTAATTATAATAAATTATTTTTTAATTATCAGTTTGTTCCATGTTTGTATGTTAACAGTAAACCGCTATTGTTCCAAAAATAACAAAAAATTACATTTTAATTTTATCACATTTTAAAAGATTAATTAAATCCTTCGTTTCATGGCTTTATTTCATTACTGCCATTTTTGATAAATATTTATTCAATTGTAAATCCAGAAACAGACAACATCAAAACTACAAAAAAAATAACTTTTTGTATTAATATTTTGTTTTTAATAATAATATTACAATTATTATTGTAAACATTTTAATAAATTATTAAACTGTTAAGAGTTTTATGAATTGAATTGGTTTGGCTTTTTATGCAGTTTTTTATTATTAAAATTAAATAAACAGTTAAACCAAATTCTACAAAAATCAAAACAGAAAACACAGAATTTGGGAAAAATAAAACAGATTTTATAGGGCCCAAAAAATGCATTTTTGTTAAACTTTAATAAAATGATGTTAAATTGTATACGTTTCATGATTTAAATAAGATCTGTTTCAGTCAATTATTGAAAATTTTATGTAACTATCAAAACAGAATCTAAGAAAAATCTAATGGAAAAAAAGTCATATTAAAAAGAAAAAGAAAAAAAAAACAGAATTTGGGAAAAAATGTAATTAGATTCACTAAGTCATTAGTATAGTATTTATTAATATATGGAATTAAAATTTTATATTTAGTTTTTATTTTAATGTTAGTTCAAGTTTTAGTAATTTTGTTGTGCATTTTTGTTATTTTTATTAGATTAGTTTTAGTTATTTTGAGTACATCAAGTTAAACTAAATGAAAATGAGAAATAAAATAAGTTTTTATCTTAATTTAGTTGACGTGTATTTTATTTCCCATAATGAGGAAGTGTTGCTGTCTGGTTGTAGTTGTAGTTGATGTGTGAGTGCTTGTGTGTTTCTGTCAGTCGGAGCAGCTGCAGATCAAGCTCATCCAGGAGAAAGATCTCAACGATCAGCTGGAGTGTGAGAAGGCCATCCTGGATAGACAGGTGTGTGTGTGTCTGTGTGTCTGTGTGTCTGTGTGTGTGTGTGTGTGTGTGTGTCTCTGTGTCTGTGTGTGTCTCTGTGTCTGTGTGTGTCTCTGTGTCTGTGTCTCTGTGTCTCTGTGTCTGTGTCTGTGTGTCTGTGTGTCTGTGTCTGTGTGTGTGTGTGTGTGTGTGTGTGTGTGTGTGTGTGTGTGTCTGTGTGTGTCTCTGTGTCTGTGTGTGTCTCTGTGTCTGTGTGTGTCTCTGTGTCTCTGTGTCTGTGTCTCTGTGTCTCTGTGTCTCTGTGTGTGTGTCTGTGTCTGTCTGTGTCTCTGTGTCTCTGTGTCTCTGTCTGTGTGTCTGTGTCTGTCTGTGTGTGTGTGTGTGTGTGTGTGTGTGTGTGTCTGTGTCTCTCTCTGTGTGTGTGTGTCTGTGCGTGTGTGTGCGTGTGCGTGTGTGTGTGTATATGTCCTATGTGTGTCTGTTGTTATGGTTTTAAATCTATATTTAACCTCAGAATGATCTCAAAGTAAGTGAAAAGATTTTGTAGTGGCTGTGCTTTAAAACTAAATTATTATAATCTTAATTCAAGGGACAAAGAATTTGTGACAAAGTGACCGTAATAATCTGTGTTGAATACTACTGTGAGGTTAACCCTGCCTGCTTTAAATGTTTGAAAATTGAAAACATTAGAAATTTAGAAAAGTAATCAAATGTAATCAGTTACATTACTTTAATAGAGTAATTGAAATAGTTGCACTACTTATTACATTTTAGACAGGGTAACTTGTAATCTGTAACCTATTAGATTTCCAAAGTAACTTTCCCAACACTGGTTACTCATGAGTGTATCTGCTGTAATGATGCTGATGCTGATGCTGATGCTGATGGTGTGTTCAGCTGCGGGATCTGCGCAGAGAGATGGAGGAGCTGCAGAATAACAGAGTGGAGGTGGACTCAATCACCAGAGCCGAGATTAAAGCCAAAGAACTGGAGAACACACTGCGCACCGAGGAGAGGTCAGACACACACACTTCATCTGTATAATATCTAATAATGCTTCATCTAATAACAGTTTGCAGTAAGTCTGAATGATGGGTTGGCTGTGATTCTCTTCAGGAATAAAGTGGTGATGAACAACAGCATCAGCAAACTGGAGAAGAAGATCCACGAGCTGATGGAGCAGATGGAGGAGGAGCACAAGATCTCCACCGAACAGAGAGAGCTGGTATGATGACGATCACACATCCACACCAGCAGAGGGAGACACAACATCACATCACACACTCGTCAAACGAATTAAGAGTGAAAAACTGGAAAATAATGAATTTGAGAATTCAACAAAAAAACTAAACCGAACTCTTTCACTCGCGTATAATTACTGCACGTTGAAACGTTCTGAAATATCTCTTATTTAAAGATGGAAATAAATAGAAATTAATATTTTCAATCCCAGATTTTCAATGTGATCTCAGGGATTTATACCCACATTTCTTTCGGTGTTTTTTTTTTTTTTTTTTAAACAGTTTGAACAAAACCACAAAACTTATTATTAAACATCATTGGGGAACTTGTTCCCTTCACAGAATTCAAATAAATAAATAATTAATAAAAATTCACAGTTATGACTCTTGAGTTTATCTCTCACAAATGTAAATTGTAAGCTATAAACATGCAATTACAAGAAAAAAAGTTTGAAGTGTGTTGAATTGAAAAATACATATTTATTATTTAAGATGTATAATTTGTAACAATATGGTTGGTTATTCAATTTATGTAGTGTTAGAACAGCTGGTATTTAATTAGTTTGATTTTATTTTTATTGTAAAGCACTTTGTGACTCCTTGTCTGTGAAAGGTGCTATATAAATTTTACTTATTATTTTTTTATTGTGCGTGTTCAGATGAATCAGCGCATCCGTTCACTGAAGCGGCAGCTGAACGAGGCCGAGGAAGAGGCGAGTCGACGAGACGTCCAGCACCGACACACACACAGAGAACTGATGGAGGAGAGAGAAAATAACAGCCGCCTGCAGAGACAACTGCTGGACCAACAGCTGCACAACAAGTGCGTCACACACACGCACACACACACACGCACACTCACACTC